AATTTATTGTCCATTTGGGATGAACTTTCCTTTAATTGTTCCATACCAGCCATATTATTTAATACATTTTCCTCTGCAAATCCTGCTTCTCTCTGTCTTTGCCTATGATTTGAATGTAACATTGGCGTGGTATTATTATTTTTATTCATGCTATCAATAAAGCATTCTGAGAGAAGCAAATTTGTCTGAGTACTTTCATCATCATCAGTAGCTTGCTTTGTAATTAAGAAGGCTGTTACACTAACATCAGATGTCACAGTATCATCAAGAAGCTGAGAACTTGGAACCTTAAGCTGTTTTTTATTATTTTCTTCACTCTTACAGGATGTCCATTTAGTGTCAAAGGTATTTTCAGACTGAACAGGCTCAGTAGTATCTTGTGACCTGTGTTTACTTTTGACACAAGTCCCATATACATCTTCTGTTTCCTGCTGTCGGTCTTCTTCACTTGTACATGTAAGACCAACATATCTTTCCTCAGAAACATCTGACGCAGATTCACATTTTCCTGAGGATAGTTCTCCATTTTCATGGTTAGACTGGAATTGCAAAGTATATCCTGTCTTGTGGCCTAAAGAATAGCAACAGTCATCAATATTCTGATTATTTTCATTGCTATTTTCTATGTCTCCTAAGGAAATTAACAGCTGGTCACCTTTGTTTATACATTGATGATGTGAATAAAAAATATCCATTTCTTCATCACTGTCAGAATCAGTATCAGAGTCATCGTAATTATCATAATCCTCCTCATAATCTTCCTCCTCCTGTGTACCCTCAGATTCATCCTCACAGGAGTCACCTTCCACTTTCACTTCATCTTCCTCCTTTCTGTCTTGTACTTCTGCTTTGTACATCTTCCATGAAGAACTAAGGCCTCCCTCCTTTCTTCCTTCACTCTCCAGAGTAACTGGTAATTTTTGCTCCTTCTCTCCAAAGCTCCCTGTTCTTTCCTCTTCCTCCTCAGGGTTTCTTTCCATAGTTTCAGCAGAAGCTGTATTTATGCTCTCAGGTAGCCCTGTCAGATTTACATAGACACTCTCTCCAGCATTAGTTGCAAATTCTTGAAAAGAGCTGGTCTCTTCTCTCAGGGTTATTAGACCACCTCTTTCCTCTAGAAAACCTAATGCAACTGATGTTCCAGACAATTCTGGCACTGATGTATCATCATCCCCCAGCTGCAAGGTATCAAAACAATCATCACCTTGAGGAGTGTCATAGGAATCATCATCATCATCATCATCAATTTGTGGAGTATCATAGACATCGCTGCCATCATCATCAGCCTGAGGTGTTTCATAGGCATCATTGTCATCATCATCAAACTGAGAGCTGTCATCTTCAGAGGCTACCTCACCACATTCATGCTGCAAGCAGTTACTTTCAAACTGTGGGATGCCATCACTCCCTTCTACTGATGAGTCAGAACTACTGTCACACAGCGGTAACTTGTTGAACGTAAGATTGCTTTCTTCTACTGTTAGCCTTTGTGCTGTGCTGTTACTGTCCCTCACAGGTGGTCCATCATCTATAACAGTATCGCCATCCAATAAAGGCCTGCAGTGCATATCTCCATTGTCTTCTAGACACAGTTTACTCTGCAAATCAATACAATCTTCCAAGAACGGCCTGCCATGTACATAAAGATATTCCTCTAGGGATGGCCTGTTATGTACATCAGTGTAGTCCCATAGAGGTTGCTCACTATATTCATTATCTTCAAACTGTAGTGTGTCACCACATTGACTAACCAATTCTTCTGGAAGTCTATATTCAGTATCTGCACTGATGGATGAACCAAGACTTCTCTGAAAATCATCTTTCTTGCTGCTATCCAGTATCATTCTGCTAGTGTCAGCTTGCAATATGTGAGGCTCGTATTTTGGGCACCTTTCCAGCTCTCTCCAGGTTTCATTATCTGACAAATCATTCACACTCAAGGTATTCTGTAAGGTTTTATCATTCCTGTTTTCAGTACCCAAACTGTCTGCCATATAAATCTCTTCTATCTCTTTTTCTGAAATAAGATTCAGATTTGAGTCATTTGGAAGACATCCTTCAACATTTCCTGAATTCGCCTTCTGACTGTTATGCTTACACTGTTCTGTCCACTCAGAAACCCCCGGAAGACCTCTGAGTGCATTTCTGTTCATGGAATTTTGAGTGCTACTTACTACATTTCTAAGTTCTGTAGGGTTAGTTAGCAACATCTCACGTGGATATTCTGATTGCTCAGTACCAATAGCATTGCAAATATCTGGTCTACACACATGGAGATCTGCTCCCTGTAAAGATATGTAATTCCCCAAATCTTCAAACTGATTTAATTTCCTGTTATTAGAAGTATTCTCAGCACCTGAAAGATCACCCTGACCACTGCCTGTGACTTTATTAAAGTGGACACTGCCAGCTGACTTTAGGTTAATTCCTTTCAAGCTTATGTGTTTCTTATTGAACTCCATTTCTGACACATCGGTATTGTACGCAGCACCATCACCTTCCAGCAACATATTGATGGCTTCTTGCAGTTGTCCATCATATAATAGAAGTCTTCCTCCAGTGTTTGCATCCATATAACTGTTCACCATCAGATAAGATATGAATAATTTCTTAGCTTGATCTAAATTATGACATACAGGGCCTTCTGTGCCAGAATCTTCATGTTCCTCCTCGCAGTCATGAAATGCAGATGGCAGGAGTTCATACATCGATAACCATTTTGCAGCATTTTTACAAGGGGACTCTAATTCTCCTACATTGGGCATTTTATCTGGTAAGGTCACATTGGTCAAAACAGATACAGTATTGATGTCTATCATTCCTGATTGTGCAGCCTTATCTAGACTGACTATTTCACAAGTTTCTGGAATGTAAAGCGCAGCTATCTTCTGTCTATCATTTAGTATTTTGAATGCCAACTCATTTGTTATCATCTCTTGGTGCAACGAAGTTGATATGGGGAATATTTCACCAGTGTGAGGCCAAATTAGTCCAACAAAGCCTCTCTGTGCTTCTAACACCAGCAGTGCACTGGTAGATGATATCAAGTTGCATTGAACAGCTTCATCAACAGTCAAGCGTTTTCCTGAATTTGGACAAAGAATTCCACCAGTCTGAACCTGATGTGTGAGGATCCCACAAGCAGTGTCCTGATCTATCATCCCTTGTCTCATGGCCTCTTCCACAGTCATTCGCTTCCCTGAGTCAGGGTCAATTATACCTCCAGACATTAACTGAGCACCCAGCAGCCTAAACATTGTTTCCCGATCGATGAGTCCTTCATGGGCTGCCCTCAAAATAGTTACCTTCCTTCCACATTTCAACGTGATTCTACCTTTTTCTTGTGGTTTCACAGGTAGGAGTCTTAAGCCTGTTTCTTCATGTATTACGCTTCTATGAACTATCTGTTCAAGGGAAATCTTCTCAGCACAGTTGGGGTCTATGAGATCTTTACATGTGTCTTGTCTTTCTAGAAGCTTTGTATATAATGTTGGAGAAATCAGGTTTCTCTGGAAAGCATTCTGCAAAGTCAGGTTTTCTCCAGTAGATGGCAAAATCAAGTGCCCACTTGAAAGCTGATTCTCGAGAATTTTAATAGCCAAAGGTTCTGAAATTAGACTTTGTTCTAAAGCTGATACAACTGGTAGATTTGATAATGATGATTCTGAAATAAGCTTCTTTGCATTACTTAATTCCTGCAACTGTAACAGAGTCTGCTCATCAATTAAGGCATGAGCTTTAGCTTCTTCCAAATCATAACATACTCCTAATTCTGGAGAAATGATTCCAGAAAGGATCAGCTGATTCTCAAGCAATCTAATTCCAGTGTCATAGTCAATAAAACCTTTTAAAATAGACTGAAAGACTGAAAGGACTTCTCCAGTCGTTTGGTCAATGACACCAGCAATGACTTTATTCACCTAAAAAGGAATATAAAAGAAAAGCTATCACTATTTTCAGACTGTATATTTTAAATTTTCTTTTGATTTTGAATGCATAATAAGCATAAAAACATGTACTTACCAGGCCTGGAGGAATGCTGTGAATGTTAGCAGCTCAAATGCGCAAGTGATCTATGTCAATCATTCAACAGCACACGATGTGATAAAAGATTTAAAATCAACATGCATCTGTGAATTGAAAACCTATGCTTTGCATACATAAATAGGGTTAGTGAAAGACAGAAGAAGAAATGATTGCAGAGTGAGTAAATAGAACATATACCTGAAAGGCAAATTTTCATGCTCTAAATGTCTGTGAAAGGTTAGAATATTCGAAAACAGTATGCGATTCAAAACAACCATGCTATTCATGTTTACAGCATACAGCACTTCTGTATATACACTCAACAACATGGAATCAGATACTCTAGCACCAAATATTGCATTTAGTTTGCATGGAAAGCATGAAGTCAGTTTGGCAACATTATTTCAACTAATTGCACAGACACTGCCTCTACATGTACATGAGAACACTCATTTGCAATGAAATTTTTGAGAATTCCATATTTAAGATCCATTAACAAATGCATTTGTAGTGTCTCAGAGCTAATCACGTTATGTGCTCCCATTTTCACATCCAGATAAATTTTAAGAAAAACTGCAAGTAGATCTGTTCTAGGACATTTCTGAGTGATATATGGGAGAGATTAACATGTTATTTTATGGTGTCATTTTTGCAGCAGAAACACAGACTTATCTAGCAGTCAAAGAATGGCTTTTAAGAGACGAGTTAAGAGATGAATGATTTGTTTATCTTTCTTCATGCAAGGCACACATTATTAAGACTCTTCACAAAAAACCCTGATGAGCAGCACATTCATATGTGCAGGTAAGGTCACACACAGAGTTCCATAATAAATACACAAAACCTTCAGTCAATTATATCTCAAATTCCTTTACACGCTATTAATTGCAGCATCTTCCTTTACTGATCATGTGTGGTTCCAAAACCATGCAGTAAATCTCAAGAGACTGAAATGTACGTTTCAATCTTGTTACCTTTTCTTCCATCTTTTCATCACCCAGATACTGTGCTTCCTGTAGCTGCTTCAAAGCTTCATTGGATAACAAACTGTAGCTCTCCTGAAGGGATCTGACTTGCTTTTCCATTTCATTTCTCTCTTCATCTGTCATTCTATTAAGAAAAAAAAAAAGAGAAAAACAGAAGAAGGAGATATCTTTGAGTAATCTGTAACCTGCAGGGAGTGATCTGCTTACCCTTACTAAAAAAAAGTGGGGGGGAATTGGTAAAAGTAGTCTGAAAAAAATATAGCCTCATTACAAGGATGTTCAAGAAAGGTACAATCTGCTTGTAGTCATTCAGGAAAAGAAGCTACAGTCATCTAGAATTTATGTTGAATTATCACTAAAGCATTTAACATTTGCATATGCCTTTGCCTACTGATTATCAATCAAGACAGGTGACATAGCTAGCAAGGAGTTATGAGATATCTCAGTAATTTAATATCTTAAACAGCCTGATTTCAGACACAGATGAAACAAACTTGTGACACATAGTTCAAGCACTAATTTAGTCCTAATTTGTTAATTGACTTCAAATGAAAATTACTGTCTAATGTTTTTTAAGCTGACCAGAGGCATATAAACCTAGCCAAATTCTTGAAATAAACAAAACTGCGTAAAGCTTCCCCAAATGGGAACATAAACTTATAAATTTAAAGAAAAAAACTGACATATTTGTATGTGAAATATGACTGGAACTGTAAGATGAGGATATAATTTCTTTTTAAGCAAACAGTATGTACTGATTCAATTAATTTACATTATTTAAAAATTTAAAAATGGCATACTTGTCACTGTGCTTAGCTAAAAATGACTGAGTAGTCTGCAGAGCTTCAGCTATTTGTTCTTTCTTGGTTGACATTTCATCCAGGGAAATCTGAAAAATAAATAACCTGTGTTCAAGACTTAACTATGCACATACATATATGAAGAAATACAAACAAACATAGTATTTCCATCTGGGACTAAACTCAATAGTATAAAAACTTGATTTTTTTTTCTTTAAATACCGGCTATTCTTAGAGTGATATTATATACTATGGAATTGTATCATTTATCATTTATATATGGATAAGTCATTGTGCTGTCATTTGGATAAATAAGCTGTTTGTATTAGAAAACTATTGTGTGAGACAAAGAGAATTTATTTTAAAATGTTGTTTTAAAATTAACCAATCATTTAAAACCACTTATTATAGTTGGCACAGTTTAAAGCAGCTTTATAAAGATATGTGTACAATAGTCATTGCAAGAAGCTGCTCACCAACATGAGAGAAAATAATTTAACAAACTTACCAGAAGGCCACAAACCTTCATGAAATTCAGTGACAGAGAAATATGCAGTATCAGACACTTGGAAAAAATGAATTACTTATTAATATTCTCCCTGCTATCATTTCTGTGATCCCCACTAAAGCACTTGTTCTGGAAGAGGAATTTGTGAGAATTTAATCTTTTAACTTTTCTGAGAAATTGTCTGCAGTCTCTTCAAAGAAATGCACTTATTTTGGATAAATAAAGGCTTAAGTATCAAAGGGGAGTCTAGGACTTCATTAGCAAGCCCAAGATACGTTCAGTGTCAGTGCAAAGAGAACTCTAGCAAGGTGCTCGGGCTTTGCATTCACCTGGGTCCGGACACGACCATTTCTGCCCCTACGTGCATCACGTCAAAGGGCCTGAGCGTGGTCTTGAACGGAGCCTCCCTTTGCAATTACCGCCAGCCAGCCACAATCCCACCACTTTGTGCTGCCTGGACAGAAATCAAGACAGCAAGTGCTGTGTGCACTACACAAGAAGGCAAAGTAAGCGGGCTGAGGTACCAGACGGGGTCACGAGCTCCACTTTGCTCAGGGAACGGGCATCGCTGCGGTTGCTGCGTGTGCCCCGGCACTACCGGCACCTGCTTCTCCACCCGCTCCACTGCTACACCCCACAGCACCCCAAACCACTCTGTGAAATGTATTTCAGCTAACATTAGCTACCAAATCACTAGTCTATATGTTTCTACAACACTTATCAAGGCACCTGTGCTAGTCAGTGGAGACACACAATCAGGCACCTCTGGAAGGTGATGCTACCTCGCCGGGCCATTTCACGAGGGAAGGAAACACCCTCGGCAAACGTCCATCTCCCACAGGCTGGAGGAAGCCGAGGTGGCTAACTCGCAGGTTACTTGCTGAGGGCTCAGGCTGGATGGGGAAGATGCCACCCATAGCTGCTGTGGTAAGCTGAGATGGTCTAAGGAGTTGAGTGCTGGCTCAACGCTGACAAAGGTTTGCACTGGTATCATTAATAACGGCAGAAAAAGACCAATGCTGACTGTTTTTGCAAATCCTGATCCTAACTATTAGTGATTTACCAATCAGTATGCTCAAATCAATACAAGCTTACTTCCTCCTGTTGATATAGGGACAAACTCAGTAACAAAACTAGCACTGGTCCTCTATGAACAAGCAGCGCGCTGGGACCAGTGGCCATCAGGACTGCAGGACTGCTGACCTGCCTGACAGCACGCTTGATTTAGGCACACACTGCTCCAGTGGCTCTATGTGGCACCAGCATGCATGACCAAAATAAAAAACGTAGGAACAGGCTGCCAGGAGGGCCAAAATCATGTTTGCATGACCATACACCCAGCCCTGTACTGAGGGATATGGAAAAGATACTGCTCCATCTCTCTGCTGCTCAGTGTGCAGGTAGACCCTTCACCTCCTGAAATCTTTTTCAGGTGTCACTAAACTATTTTATGGGACAAGCCCAGCAGAGGAGCTGTTAGAAATGATAGGAAACTTCACAGATGGAAATTTATGGTCTGTACACAATGACAACGTACCTGTTAAATACAAAGGCGGCAAGATGGGCCACTCCAGCAGCCTGTGGACTAATGTGATAATAGAGGGCTCAGTCAACACCTGCTGTAGTCCCCAAGACAGCAGTTTTGACTGTCTCATAAGAGGATCCCTCAAAATATCTTTTAAAAAGCAAATAAACTGAGGCCTCAGGGCCCCTTCTACCAACTCTCTCCTTCCTGGTGCCAGGGTAGAAGTTACCAGACTTATTCACTGACCTATTTCAGGACAAGGGGGCAGACCTACGAAGTGCCATCCTGCCAGGATGCACTGTCCCTCTACAAAGGCTGAGTTATGGTTTGCAGGGTCCAGTTTCTCTAAACTGACATTTTGCAGTGTCAGAATACGTCACGCGCCAGGCCTGTAAAAAGCAGCTTGTACTTCTTCCTGAGTAACATGTTTGTGTCCCTAAACATTGATGTTCATTTACCCAACCCTCCACTCGCAATCAAACGTGAAATTACATCTTCAGTAAAATGTGGATGGTGACTTGGAGGAAAAAAAAGTATTTATGGAATATTTTGTCATTTTAATCAGCACCGAAAGCTAAAAAGACGAAGTGGTATTTTGCCAAACATCTGTGTACCTGCTGCTTAGGCAAATCTGTCTTTTCAGCCTGTTCTCCTTCTTCTTTGCTGAGTGTCTTGCTGAGGTTTGACACCCATTTCAGTAAATCCCCAGCTTTCTCAACATATTCCTTCTTTTCTTCTTCCACTGACTTCTGATGAGCACCGTGAATTGCAAAAAACATGTAAATGTAAATTGTTGCAATATTTAACATTAATGTTCATAGAAACACAATTCTACCACAATGGCAGTATTATCACATAAACATAAAGTGATTTCATTTTATTTATCAGCACATGCATTACTCTGACACTTTGATGTTGGAACAAAAATGCCACATAATAATAGAAATTAACAAAATAATTCCTCAAATGATTTGCAATTATGATTATGGTGCTTATTAATACACATGTACATTCATTATAAAATGACTGATATTAAGAAAAAGCATAGCTTCCCAGCCATTACTCAGCAGATAAAATCTAAACAACATTTGCATATAATGTACCTTTGAATTGCTGCCTTTGCATTACCCTCAGCTGTGGATATGTACAGCCAGCATAGGATATCAGTATTTTGCAATCTATGCACATGGATTATTAAATTACAATTAGGAAGAGTACATTGCTTTTATGTCTACAGAAATAAGAACAATAAAAATAAAATACTGAGACATTTCATCTTTTCCTGCACAGGAGAATATATTTCTTTTTATAGTAGTAAATCTCGTTAGTAGTTTCAAATCTATCAGTACTTGGAAAACATGCCTAAGCCCTTCCATGTATCACAAGTAAAACTGAAGACATTTTATTTCAGTGGAATTTTGTTTAATTTGACATGTAATTGTAATTCATTTGCCTATTAGAGCATGAAAACAATTCTAAAAAAAAAAAAAAAGTTACCTGAAATGAGACAAAAACTTAGGATATGTAACTTCATGATGTGAGTAGCCCCTTAAAATTAATGAAATACTAGTGTGAGGAAAATTTGCTTATGCATATGTTTACTGGACTGCAGATTTAACCCTTATATACTTTATTGCCACTTTTGTAATGGTATCTGCAAACTGATTTGTAATATTAAATTAAGTATCAGGTTACATGCAAAATGGGCAATCCCTTTCAATTTTTAAAATAAGAATCTGATTCTTGTCTCACCTAAATCTACCCATTTTGCACTAATGTTAATTTCATCAACCTCAGCATAACTTCTGATTTACACTACCTACATGTAGATAATGTCAGACAAGGCCTTCAGGTAAAAACTGAACACAGTCTACATTCTGAAATTATGAATCTGCCTGAGTTTATCTATAAATTTCAACTTTGTAACAAGTGATACCTAATTCTAGTTTTAGTGGTTTACACTAATTAGTAGTTTGTACTAATTAGTTTTACAGCAACTCATGATTATGTTAGAAAACACCATTTGTGATTTTCCATAAAGGCCATCATAGAACTTTTCCTTGACTTGAATGGGTTTTAAAGCAGGCGCCAAAATGAGTACTAGTATCTTTGTTCCATTATGAACTATAGTAAAGACTGGAAATTCCCGTTTTCAGGGGTTGAGCTGATTCTAACAATCGCAGCCCCGTGTGGCAATCAAAAACAGCTCTCTCTAAAGCTTCTTTGTAGGTTAACTTCTTCTTTGTTCTGGGGCACATTAAAACTTTACCATACAGTTTTTCATCTTTCACCTTCATAGCTGTGACAGCATCAATAATACCATTCTTAATTGCATCTTCCATTGTTAATCTGGAATGAGACTTTGGATCTATCAACCCACCAGTCAAGTACTGATACTCCAGGCAGCGCATGCCCATTTCTTTGTCTATAGCATTTAAATGCATAGCTTCAACAACTGACATAACTGTGTTCCTTATAGGGTGAATGATCCCAGTAAAGATCAGTTCATACTGCTGGATTTGCTTGGCACAAGCATCATCGATTAACTCCCTTTGCAAAGCTTCTGAAACACTGTACTTTGCCCCAGTAAATGGATCAATTATGCCTCCTGTACTAACCTGCGCTTCGAGACATCGGAGGGCAGTAACTCTATCTACCAAGTTTTTGCGTGAGGCTTTTAAGACTGGAATTCTTTCATTGGTTTCACAAAGCCAGAACCCTGCAACAGGACTGTTTAAATCTTTATTTGGCTGCGAACTGCTAACTAAAATATCACCAAACTCATTAGCTGTGATTAAACCCTCCTTATATTTATTGACTAATGCTCTGTCAATTCTACCCTGATTCAAGGTCTCCTCAATATTAAACTGTATACCGGTTTTAAGATCTGTAAGCAAAAGAGAAGAATTCCCATCAGAGTCAAAACACGTAGACTCCTTCCAATCAAATTCCTGTTCTGAAAGCTCAAGATATGTAGCTTTATCAACACAATTTTTTTGATAAGCTTCATATGAAGTCATTTCAGCTCCTGTTTCGACATCTACTACAGAAATTCTGTGACTTTTCTCTACTGATGGGCTGCTTATTTTCCTTTCACCAACTGGAAGGAGAAAGCATTTACTGCTTACACTGAACAAACACATTTTCAGCAAATCACAATAGTACATAGCTTTCCTGTTATTTGGATTGTGAAAACATTTTGCATTACTAGAAGGTTCATGCAAAAATTTTAAAATTGTGTTATTAAGCAAGCCAAGCTGCACGGCGACTTCTGGAGGTACACGAACACTCCGCACGGGATCAATGACTCCCCCACTTGCAATTTGAGCCTCAAGGATATTTTTACCTTTTTGTCTTTCTAAGAGTCGAGCTTCCATAGCCTGATACACAGAGAACACTTTCCCAGAACAGCAATAGCCCAAAACAGCTTGCTCTGCCTCAAGCAGTCTACTCTTGAACTCATAATCTGCAAGCCCTCTAACAACCGAATCATCAACAGAGAATTTCTGACCTGTTGTGGGATCAATGATAAAACCGGTAGCTGCTTGGGCCTCTAAAAATGCTAATGCCAATGCTTTTCCTATGATTCTTCTCTTTGCTGCTAAAGCAAAAGAGAGAATCTCCTTGCTGGATTCAAGGTACAGCCCAGCTATAGCTGTAGATTTAGTTAAAAATTTTTCAAGACTTTTCTGAACCTCATCAATAGTTTTCTGCCCTGAACAGAGCTGTTCAACTGTAAGCCTGTCTAAAAGTTTAACTTCGGTCAACTGTCTGGCAGTTACATCATGTCGGAGACCTTGAAATTTAATATCATCATATTCCTCTGTAAAATATTCCAACTGAGTTTCATCATCAACAGTTTTCAAAATCTCTTCGCCTAAGAAAGAGCTCCTCTTTGCAAAGTCTTCTTTCCTAAACCCTTTGGATGTTTTGTATCCCTCAAACATTCTCTCTTCATTACCAAAAGTCTTGTCATTTTCTTGGTTTAATGTTGTGACTTCAACGTGCGTGTCATAGTGCTTGTTCTTCACTATCTGTAAATAGGAATTTTTTGACACAGTGAGAAATACATCTGCAGAACTATGCTGTACATAATTCAATCCTAAATCCACCACCAGAGCAACATAAGGGAGAACTTGAATGTAAGTCAGGAAGGAGAACTACTACTAGCATTGGAGAGCAGAGAAATATAGGTAAGTAGAATTTTAAAGCACATTTGCCATTTCAAACATGTATTCAATAACAGGAATAGGACTAGACTAAGCAACAATAACTGTTGTTTGTTACTGTATGAACTTAGTGCCATTAATCAAAGCTTATTTTGACCAACAATGATACAATGGTGTATGTGAATTCCCATTTCCAACAAACTTTTAAAATAATGCGTTTCTTAGATATTAACAAACCTGCTACAAAGGCCTAATGAAAAGCTTTTTTTGTCATGTAAGAATGAAGGGGTTCCCTTCACCAAGGTAAGAACATAAGAAACGTTAGAGAGAATACAGAATAGTGATAACATATAACTAAAAACAAACAAACGAACAAACAAACAGAGTAGTAAAAACCAGCACTAGGAAGGCAAACCCTCACAAAACGTAGTGTGTACCTCCAAGGGTTGCAGTTTTACCACTCCTAATTCATGTTTCGTGTCTTCTCCATGTCTAATAGTTTGTCTGGAACTGTGTAGGTTCCTGTTTCTCAATTTGTCCCTTTCAGATGTTCCAGAGATCTGGTTTGCTTTGTCAAAAGTTATCTGGAACTGCGTACTTGTTTGAGAAACAAACTCTGTAAAAGATTGTGGCCTTGAATCTTCTTCCAGTGATTGGTTTATTCTTGACATCTGGAACTGCACCTCTCTCGGTATCATATCATCAGCACTCACGTACAATGTATTTCCTTCTATTTGATCAGATTTAAAACCTAATCTCTCCTGTTTCTGCCTTAACAAAGGTGAGCTAGGTTTTGCATGTGGAGGAAGCTGTTCAAATTCTCTAGTTGCAGTGTCTCTCAGGTAATTGAAATCATTCCCTCTTCTCTCACAGCTCAATTTAAATCCAGAATCTTGGAGTTTATTGTTTTGCTGAACTTCATTCTGAAACAAAAGAAACCTGTGTTCACTCTCCCTGACCTGCAGGTCCATTTTCTGTTTCAAGCTCTCAACCATGTGCTTCTGCACTTCCAATTCTTCTTCAAGTTTCCCGCACTTCTGGTGATAGTCCATTTCAGCCTGCTTCGCTTGCTGTAGTTGTTCATGACACTGTTTAAGCCTTTCTTGCAGATCTTCCATTTGTATCTTGTAAAACATGATATTTTCCTCAGCCATATGCTTTTCCTGCTGAAGAGCAACACATTCTAGTTTTATGCCAGAAATGTCCTTTTCTGTGATGCTATGGGATTCCAGTAATTTTTCAACTTTTTTCCTAAATTCCTCTGCGGAGTGTTTAAACTTAATGGATTCTTCCTGAAACAGAATCATCTTCTTCCGTGCCATTTGTTCATCCAGAGTCTTCTGATGGAGTTCATCCTGTAATTTTTTTAATTTACTACTTAGTTCTTGTATATGAGCTTGTTGTAGTTGCACCTTCTGCTCACTCACTCTCTTTTCCATAGTTAAAGTATTCATTTGGGCATTTAGATTTTTAACCTCCTGGTCAATGGCTAGGGTGGAAGCACTTTGTTTATCACATTTTTGTTTATATTCACTAGCTAAGTCTTTTGTTTGTGCTAGATCAACTTCTAGGCTTTTGAT